TAATAAATTTCTTAATATATTTCACTTAATTTATAAATTAAGTCAAAATCTTTATTATGATAATAATTCTATTTTTTCTCTATAAATAGTTTAAAAAATCTTTATTTATTTCATTATTGTTAGTATTAATTATAAGTATATCTCTGCTAGCTCTCATTTTTTCAATTTCTTACTGAAGTTTTATAATTTCTAATTTTATCAGAATTTTTTTACTAACTTCTGATATATAATTATTAGAATTAACTGTATTCTCTGACATTTTATCAATCAAATCTTTATATATAATATTAAGCTCATCTGATTTCTTTAGAATTATTTTATCTATTTTAAATATGTTAGAAGCACTTCTACAAATTATAATAAGTATAAATAGTAAATCTGCAAACTATAAAGTTCTATTCTTCAAAATTCTATTCTCAGATTTTTGATTTTATCTTCTTTTAGACATGTATTCTTCTGTCACATCTGATATTTCATTTGAATATATATTGATTATCAATGTCATTCAGTTTTCAGATTGTAAGTTTATAAAAAAATAGAGCTTTTTCTCAAGTATTTTTTCTTATATTATTTATAGTGAAAGATCTTTAATTCAAGAATCTCATAATCTCTAAGAGGACTGATATCATTCTTATTGCATTGTAAGACTTTAAATGAACTAGCTTCACTATTTATATGTAAATGCATGTGACATGAGTAGCTAAAGCATTTACTAACAAGTTCTAATAAAAATTCTTTCTCATCAAAGTTATAAATATTTGAAAATTCAATATTATATTTTATGATTTTTACCTGCGACTATAAAAATTAAATATTAACAAATAATCACTAAATTTAATAATAAAATAAAAAAGTAATATAAGAATTATAAGTTTAAAATAGTACTTGAATTGTTTAAAATTGTCTGCAATCTTGCACTTTTGATCAATATTTCACAGGTATATAAACTTAATCTCATTCTTATGGTATAGCAGAACCAGGATAACCAATTGATTTCAATAAAGTGATTTTAAAATCTCAACAACAAGATTATAAAGGATTTGAGGTGTACAAGAGAAACTGCAGTCAGCAAGTTGATTAATATGAGAAAGAAGTCTTTCTTCTTCAGAATCTAAAAGGATTTTGCAGTGGACAGAGGTTGCTTCCTTTCTTGACACTTTAAGGCTGTTGTAACGCCATGATAACATATGTCAACTGATTCCATATTTTTTAGCAGTTGCAGTGTAATTATGTACCAATTGCAGGTTCAAATCATTGATTGCTGCTTGTATAACTGCTTCATGGTGAATGTTGCGGAGGTTTGAAGGTGGAAGAATGAAGGAAGATTTGGGCGAGCGTTGGGTGGAAACGAGCGTTGGGTGGTTTATTAGTTAAGTGTTACTAACTACATATTCTTCAAACCTTGGAAAAGTTTATAGGTAGCAATCAACCTCGGCGCAGGTGGAAAACGTTCCTGGGAAGGCAAATTAGTTGAGAATCCAACGGGCAATAATAACTATGGCATTCGAAGGAGCCAATGCAAACGCAGACACAGCTGCCATCCAGAGGATATTTGGAGCTTTCCGCAGCGAGCTCGACGAACATCATGACCGTCGGGAGCGTGTTATTAAAGCCTCGAGGGATATTACATCCTTAAGCAAAAAGATGTATGCCATACTTCCATTATCGCAGTATCTTACTTGGTCACTGAATTGACGACTTTGTGACATGTTAGAATATTCTCCTTGCATAGAGTTCGCTCTCTCAACAAACCTCTGCCCAAGAACGTCTCGAAAGACAACCACGACCGCCTCGCACAAATAAAAAAGCTCTTTACCTTTATCCTCCCTGACCTTGCTGGTATTAATGCTTACCGTTATCAATGGCAGACCAGCCCCAGCATCCAAGAGTACATCGAAGCAGTCACATTCCAACACTACATCGAGACCCAGCAACTGATGTCCCAAAAAGACGTAATTAGTTCACTCCCTGACGGTATTCTGGTGACGGCGGCAGACTACATCTTAGGTGTGTTTGACTTAACGGGTGAAATGATGCGTTTTGCCATAACGAGCATGGCCGCCGGATCAAACGTTAACATGTCAGTCGAAGGGTCTGGTGAGCAAAACCACGAGCTGGATAAGAGTGTCGGTAGTATATTGATACATATGCAACAATTGCGGGTAATGCTCGAATCGATAAATGTGCCACTCGGACATAGCTTGAATAGGGATTTTTGGAAGAAACTGGAGGTGATGCAGAACAGCGTGGAGAAAGTGGAGCGGGAGGCATATGGATTGATTGTACGGGGCAGCGAACGGCCCGGTGGGTTGATGCCGGATGTGTTTGGGGCCGACTGATGTGGTGAGCTATTGACTATGTATCACATCCCTATTTTTCGACGCTGTTGATGTTCACGTTCCACTTGTTTATTGTGGGGACGATGTTTAAATGCGGCTTTCTGTACAAGGAGTCAGAGGATTTACAATACAGAAAAGCCTAACATTGGCTGTTTTCATTGATTGCATGTCGAATGCCATTGCTCACCGCTGCATATCTAATATGTCGGTAAGGGGTCGAATAGAATAAGTCCGGTATTACGCGTTCCGCATTTCCATTTTTTTTGTCGGTTAAACCATATTTATTCCAATGGCTATGAAAATAATTCTTAAGCATCAAGTATTCTGAATTACCCTTACCGCGGGTGGGGTTGTATTGACAATACAACTGACTGCTAAAGCTGGCCATTATCCTCAAATAGGTACTGTACATACAGTACAACGAGTATTACATCAATACGATATTTCAGACTTATTTCATAATTGACAAGAATTATCCCGTGAGAGAAGTATCCCTTTAATACCAAGGAAAAGACTCCAGAACCGCAACATATTCACCAATCTGAAGAGTTTCTAGGACATATTTGACTACTCCTAGCAATTTCTGACGCAAGCGCGTACTGCCTTAACTTTGAAAGATGATGACCAGAGAAATAGAGAGACAAGATACATTGACTGGCAGTGTCGTAGTCGTCAGAAACTTTTATGTATACACATTTTATCTCTCATCAATGAAGAACTGGAACCACAATTCAAAAAATAAAAGTAAAATAAAAATAAAGAATAAAGAATAAAGAAAAAAGTAAAAGTAAAAGCAAATGAAAAAAGAAAGATAAAGAATATCATATAGTTCTTCTTTACCCCACTAATCCGCGACTTGTGTCGTTTGTTACACGTGTATGGCAAAGCTGGACATTATAACGTTAAGTCGCGTGAGTGGGATTATCACCTTCATCCAGAATACCCCGATGGATGAGTTCTTCAGGCTTCGGACGGCTCTGAATCTTATGCCCAAGGTTGTCAGTCAGCATATGCTTTTGGAGTTCCCGAGCGTACGCCTGGAGGGCTGGGGCTGCGGTGGAAGATGAGAGGATGTTCCCTATAGGTTACTGTTAGAACCATGTGTGTATATTTACATGCACGTATCTACTGTACATCAAACTAAGTATAAGGGGTAAATTAGAGATAACTGCATACTCTCAACAAGGTCCTCACGATCAGGCCTTTTCTCCAGGTGTCTTTTGAGGCTGTCTGCGGCCTTCTGGCGGGCCAGTTCCTGTTGTGCAGCTTGCAGGGACCTTAATGCAGAGAGGGACGTTAATTTAGGCGTGCAATTTTCCAACACATAGGGTAGGCTGGGGACCGGACGAAGGCATACGGGGCAACTCTAGTATCCAGTAAAATGTGCCTATCTTTCAGGTCCTGGGGGTTTGGCCGATGTTGGAGATATTTCTCCAGGGAGTTGCGCCGCTCTACGGGCGAGATATGGGAGGCGTCGATGTTGGAGGACTGAGCCATGTTGACATAAACTAAACAGGTTGATGGAGGATTGCAAAAGAAAGAAGTTAGCAGTTAGTTTGGTAGAGTTGGTATGTATTGGAGAAGGCAAGATAGCAGTTGTTAGATTTGCTGACATGGAGCCAGTGGAGACAGGCGGCGGAGTGGATGCTCCGTTATAATCTAACAACCGTTACTCTGGTAAAATGACGTCGTAGGGATGAGTCAGCAGCCAGGACCAACAACCTCAACGAGTCTGTAATAAGCGCCATAGAAGAAACACACGGAGATACGGAGCGGATTAAAGTTAGCTCACGCAACAAACTACAACGAACGTTGAATGCAGGTTTGTTTGAATTTAGGTAACTGAACCTATATGTAATTCAAGAAGAAGAAAAATATTAAAATTTAAAGTGAAAACGCAAATAAAATGAAAACCAAGAGTTGTCCGCCTAAGGCATGTTATGGTTAATTAGAACAACAAATCTTTCCTCCAAAAGTAGATCTGCAGTCAGCTCGTTAATGCACTTTCATTTGCTCTCCCTCCCAACAAATACAAATTGCTACTCGACACCCATAACCGATTCTACCCTTCCCCTAAGTAGCTGTAGCTGTAAAATATCAAAATCCGTACTACGCAGAACCCATGATCTCCAGATATTCTAATACTAGAAAACCCGAATCCCAGTAGAGTTACCATAAATTCTGCGGTAATAAAGGATTCCCCTCCATTCGTTAGTGCGGAGAAGGCAAAGACGAAGAAGCTGGATTGCAGTGAAAATTTACAAGAAGATCGGGTCAGGGAGTGACACAGAAGACGCACATATTAGGTCTTTTGCTTTTCTTTTTCTTTAGTTTTTTTAATTTTTTAATTTTTTTTTTTTTGTTTCTCTTTGTTTTCACCGCCTCTGCTTGTAAACATCCAGCAAACTGCATCGCTCTCAAGGTCAGCCGACCGTGACATTCAGTCGGTTTGAAAACCTCATCAAGATCTTGTCTTCAGGCCAATCAAAAAAATAGGACCATGGTCTAGAAAAAGAGTCCGGACCCACACTGGGTCATTCACACTTTTACTAGATCGATCGTATTTCGTCCACTCAGACCGACCATGATAGACTAGTACTTCAAAAATTTAGGATACCGCTTCCAGTGGCCGAGTCAACTGCCCTGGACGAGACGGCACGTTCAAGGGACCCAAAGTTTGCCACGGCCTCTACCAGTGCCACGAAGAGAAGGGCCGCGACTAGCACCACGGCGTTGTGCGCGTGGACTGGAACGAACGAAACCTCGAAGATTTTCATTTGAAGCTGAAATTTCAACAGGAGTGGACGATTTCGCAACCCCATAGTTTCGGCTAAAGGAATCAGGATCGATAGGAGTAGATGGGACTCCGACAACCTCCGGAGCAGATTGGATGGCTGGTTTCCCATTGCTACTATTGGTGCTGGCACTGGCAATACGGTCACCTGCTGCTGATTTGCGGTTGGCCGATCGTTTAATTGGGCCACCACGAGGAGCGGGTTTTGCTGGGCCTCTGGGAACGAATACAAGAACATCCTCCTCGCTCTCATCTTCGTAGGAAAGCAACCTGTCGGGCTCCGCAACCTGATTCTTTTCGATGTACTTGCAATGGTTCTTGAATTCTTTCTCCTCATATATGATTGCTGTCCGCAGCTGGTGAATATTCCTTGCCGAGATCCCGAACTTCTGGGCCCATGTCTGCGTGGACCAATCGTTAGTAACGAGGATGCAACTATTTACACCTGGTGTCACCCCAGGCTGACCATGCAAACGCCAGAGAACAGCGCTAAGCAGTGGTTTGATGGTCGCAGGAACTGAGGGAATAATGGACCCAGAGGCAGAGCGACGATGAGAATTTACGGAACCGTTAGCACTTCTCCCAGGTGCTGGAGTCGCGGCAAGCTTTACGGCCGTATATTCTGGACTTGTTTGTGAGCTACCTGACGCAAGGGACGCGGGGATACTGCCAGTGCCACCAGAGGTTATCGAAACCACATCCGGCTCTTTCTTAAATTTAAGCCTGCTCAAAAGCATTTGGGACATCTCATTAAGATTGTGCATTTCCTTGCATTCGGCTTTAGCTGCTCCATTCTTTATACCATTAGCTGATTCTTTGTCATCAGCGCCACTATCCGAGTCATCCCTGACATCTTCTTCAAACTCCGGGAGAAAGTATTTTTCCGCTTCTTCCCACGTCTCGAACTGTTCCATCGGTCCCTGAAGTGTTATTTTCGAGGAAGGGATGTCATGTTTGCCGGATGTAACGCGATCAAGAAAACGGACAGCTTCTCGTGCGTTCATACCGATCTGCGCATTGGATTTCTTCAGGGTACGGAGGCGCTCAAGTGCTTGGGGATATTAGCAACATAGCAGGGAACGTTAAGTGGACATTAACACGTCAGAAACCCAATACATACTATAGAGTGGAACAATAAGAGTAATGGCACCAAGCGACGTCCACTTTTTAATTTCGCTGATATTAGTAGTGAGTGCGGTATCGTCAACGACGCAATGGAAAACTTTTCGGTCGATCGACATGCTGTCTCCTTCGAAGGTTTGTTGTAAAACAGGGTTGTGTTTTGTGGGTATGTGGAAGTAATTGCTTCTCGGTTTTTTTTTTTTTTTTTTTTTTTTTTTCTTTTTCTTTTTTTTCCCTTTCTTTTAATTTAAATATATATCGATATTACGAAATATTTATTGACAATGTATTAAGTGCTGCACAAAAAGATGTCATTAGCGAACACTCTGCCGTGTGCATGGAAGATGAGTCAGCCACAACCAATTCCAACTCTTAACTCCAAGTCGCAACTAGCAACTAGGAGTATGCAGTAAATGGTGGAATGGTGTGAGGAAATAACAAAGAGTGACTTCTGATGAAGGCAAAAGCCAGAAGCACGCCAAGGCCAACCAAGAACTCACCACAAGAAATGTAGTCAAAAAAGACAGTTGTCTGAAGCATTTTCGCTTATCTAAGTAACAGATTGGAAAGAGAACAGGTCGTGTAAAGATATCGGAAACGGCCCAACTATCGTAGCGCGTATGAAGGATGGAGGGACGTGGTGAATAACGGCTGACATCGACGGCGCAGAAGCTGGGATTGGGGTTGGGGTTGCAGAAAGATGGAGATGAAGTCAAGTCGAAAGGTTTGTGAGATTGAAGCTTGGCACGGGTGACTAAGCGAGTCGTTCCTCTAACTAGTTTGTGGATTACCCTAATCACGTGCCCCATTATATATAGTTTAGATTTCAGCTAGCTAGTTCAACACACAGTACAATTAATTCTTTATGAGATTATAAAGCTCTTCTCTCTGATCAGGAATAATCTCAAGAATGGAGTGGTATTGTGAATGCGGTGCTCGATATGGGGGGACGTCCAAGGCATGCTGGGCACGGTGTAACAATACGCCGGGGCTAACCCGAAGGGGAGGTAAGGCTTAGCCCAGCTAGATCTCCTATTAAATCATATCACCTACCATATCACTTTCATTTAAATCATGTCAAGGATAGATTGCTTGATTGATTATGAGGCGATTGCTAGCTACGCGGAAGTTATATACAGTGCAGATTACATAAGAAGGTGGATAGGCCTGACACCCCCACTCACTGATGTAACTGTATGTGAGATTACATACAAAAAATAGCCTGTAGCTAGGTATCAGTGCATAATTTGACTGGAAAACCTATATTGTTGAAAAATCAGTCATTTTCTCCATATAATCATTTCTGCCTGCTTACTGTGTCTTCTAATATCTGCTGTCATAGAGTGTATCTAGTCACTTCAAGTGGCTTGATCAGCTCATCTGCTGTGTTCTCAGCAGACAGAATGTAATCAATTGAGATCTTGTTCTTGCAGATGAGATTTTGAAAAGTATGGAAGCAAATCTCTATATGCTTAGAACAGCATGGAATAGCCTCACTTTTGATCAGTTCAATCACTAATTTATTATCTGTCTGAATCATATATGTCAGCTTATTGACTGGTGATTTGATCAGATCATCATTATCATCAAGATTATTGAGCTGAGACAGCACAAAGCCAGCATCCTTCAGCAATTCCTGAAGGCAGACAAGCTCATAGATGGTCTCTGAGAATGTGATATATTTGACCTCAGTAGATGATTTCAAAATGTCTATCTGCTTGCTGCTTCATCAAGCAACAGAACTCTCTGTCATATAAATGACATATTCAGTGATGAAGTGAGAACTCAGATCACAGCTCACTCAATCAGCATTAGTGAATGTCACAGATTCTATATCTGTGTCTTTTCAGTAGAACACATCTATGTCAGGTGTGTCTTGTAGATATCTAAGAATTCATTTGAATGCTGCTCAATTCTTCAAGATAGAGCAGAAGCTGAATCTTTGTAGAAAGTCAGCAGCAAAGCTTATATCAGAGTGTATGTTGACAGTGAGATATTGCAAAGAGTCAATTTCTGATTGATAGAAACATAATGTAAATTCCACTGTATAAGTAATTGATTCTTCATTATCACTCATGAAATCAACATTCTTCTCCATAGAAGAAGATGTTGGGTGGCAGTCATTCATTAAGAATTTCTCAAGCAGATTCTTTATAAACAGTGACTGAGACAGCAATAATGATTCAGCATTCTGATCAATCTTCATACTCAAATATCAGTTCAAATTGCTCACATTCTTGATCTCATAATTAGTGATGATCTGGGCTTTTGTCCACTCAATATTCAATATATTTGAGTCATATAGGTGAACATCATCCATATAGATGATTATATAGACCTTGTGAACATCATTTATGAAAAAATCAGTGTCATGAGAACTGATGCAGAAGTCTGTTTTCAATAGCATTTTTCATAGCTTCTCATATCATAATAGTGCTGCTTGCTTCAGGTCATATAGTTTCTGCATTAATTCACATATCAGATCATCACATCTCTCATGAAACCCAGCAGATTAGTGCATATATATATGTTCATTGATGGGAAGCTGGGCATTTAAGAATGTCATAATCATGTCAATCTGCAGAATGTGCTATTCTCAGGATATCATGATTGTTATAAGTGCTCAGGAGATGGAAGCTGATACAACTGATGTGAATGTCTTTGAATAGTTAACACTCTTTTCTTGATAATTGCTGCAAACTACTCAGTAAGTCTTATATCAATCAATTCTACTTGCATTATTAATCTTTTTGTCAAATACTCATTGATCACATAGAATCATCATATCTGAAGTTCTTTCAATTAGTCACCATGCACCAATCTGCTTGAGGTGATTAATCTTCTTAACACAGACATAAAAGTAATATTTTCAATCTGCAGACATCTGAGCTCAGGTGAGATTCTTCAGAACTGACAAGCTGATGATCTCAGAGTCTGCAGAGACATCAGTTGAATTGTCAGTGAAATCTCTCACTGAGATCTTCTTCACTGAAGTAATATTCTCAGTGAGCATTGGAGAATTCTTCATCTCTAAAGTGGACTCTGAGAGGGCAGTAATATTCTGCATCAAAAATGTTGAAATTCACATAGTAATCTCATAGTCTATCCATTAATTATTTGTAGAATGTAGAAATACTGAGAGGACAGATAGAGACTTCTCATTCATCATGAAATCATCTGTTGATAAATCATGTTGAGTGAAGAGAATTGCAATTGTGGCCACATAGACAGCAGAAGACAGGTTCTTGACACCTTGCTCAGGCAGAGTCAAAGAATCTATCAAATGAAGATCTTCTTGAAATATCATGTCTTTTGATGTGTAAAGATGATCATTAGAAGGATCAACTAATCTATAATTAGTAAAATCATCATAGTCTGTAAATATAAGCTTCTGCAATCACAAGGCCATCTTCATATTCAGCTTGAACACTATTTTTAAATAAGTCTTGCACTCTCATTGATAAATTCTATATGCAGAGGACAGAGCCCTGAGCCAAGCTTCATATGAGATAATTGACTTTAGATCTGAATTCTCTACACTGTTATAGAGCTTGACTGATATTGATATAAGATTAAGTATTTCAGTCATCACAATTACCATCTCACTTCACATCTGAGGGAGGGCAGAGGAATCTATTAATAATGTTCAGACTTTTTCAATAATCAGACTAATAGAATGTTCAGACACATCATCTTGCTGTGAAGTATGAGACAGGGTTGGTTCCCATTTAATACCCTCACTCATCATATAGGTGGCTGCTGTGTTTGAATTCAACTCACCACAGTCAGAGTGAATAATTGCAATATCATGATTAAGCAGATTCTTCATAAATTGATTGAAGATTCATATATATTTTAGAGTCTCATTGCAGTGCTTCAATAGAAAGATTCACTGCATTCATATGACATCATCAGTGATCATCATTGTGAGCTTCTTACTCACATAGAATGATGTATCTTCTTCATTATCAAGCATTTCTCCACTCCTGAATAGGTCCACTCAGATTTTAAGACCTTTGCAGATGGCATAGTATAGAGGAGTATTTTTATAACTTGCATGTTTATGCTTGGCTTTAATGCACATAGTGCAGAATGAGAGCTTCTTTAGACTGATGATGACAATTCTGAAACAGGGCTTCTGTGACATTTTAATTAGATTCTTCTCATTAATATGATTCAACTGTCAGTGCCACTCATCAATCAGTAGCTGCTTCAGCATAATGGCAGGTAAGCAGGTTGATGAGGACAAAATGAAGGTATCAGTATCTGAATCCTTCAGGTTAATTAGCTGCTCCACATCATTGTGGTTGAAAAGACTCAGTGATGCAGCATTCAGATCATAATTTATTGAAATTGTCCTGGGCTTCAGAACTGCTAAGTATGCCAGTGATCTAAGCTCCAGATCATTCATAATACCTCTGAACATAGAAAGAGTGTCAGATAGAATGTATATATTATTGAAATTCAAAATCATGTAGAAGATGTCATTTCCTGTAGATGTTATTATCTCAAAGTAATTTCCAGTGTCCACCTACAGATCATGATGAATATAGCCCTGGCGCTTCAATAGGCCAGTGAATATGAGGTTGACAGATAAGCCTGACATCAAATAAACATGATCAAATTCAATTAATCTTTCTCTGACTAGGATAGAGATGATCTCAATTTCTTGAATTTTCAAGGTAGCTTTATTGACCACTTGAATTATAGGACTGCTAACCTCTGTTATTTTAGAAAATCACAATCAATCACATGCAATATGACATCCAGCCCCACTGTCTCATATAATGAGTGGGTTGGTGATTGATTCAGCAGAGTACACAGGCACCTCAATGACCTGTACTAGATTCATCATTTGGAACATCTCAGAGCTGTCATTTGCAGTTGACAGGGTCTTCTTGCTCTCACTACTCTTCTTATTGTTATATTTTTCTATTCTCACTATGTTGGTGATTCTCCATTCTTCAGAGATGCTATTCAGATTGACTGCTCAGCAGAGCTCATCATGATGATGCTTGCATTCTGAGCAGATTGAGAGGTCAGACTTTGAACATCCACCCATTCAATAGCCTCTATGTCCCCTGAGTCAGCCCTCATGAGCTGAATTATTTTGAATGTTGCTGCTATTATTGAAACCTGCAGCTGTGTTTTCAGTCTGAGCCACATTGGCTGAAGAATTAGCTGCCTGAGCAGGCTTCTTGACCTCTTTGAGAAGATTCAATTGAGAGTGTATTTCCTCCATGGTTGAATGAACATTCAATATGACAAACTTCAATTTGAACTCTTGTACCTCCTCAATTTTCTTTTGCATGTAGTTTCATCATATATTGAGAAGTGCAGAATAGAACATGTGGAATATCATATCATTTGACAGTAAGATATTAAGTATTTCTAATTTCATAGTAATGTCATTGAACTTATTGAAAAATATGTGTACATTGATAACTTGAACACCATTCATTGATGTAAACACCAGGACTGCTTCTCTGCAGAGCTGTGTTCTCAGAATGAAGAACTTCTTCTCAATCACATATCAAAGAGAATAAGCAATCCTGCCTTCATCATACTTATTAAAACAGGGCCTAATGCTGGCTGCCAACATGTTTGAAATGAATGTGTAAAGCCAGTGATTTTTGACCTCTCAAAAAGGAGCTCATTTGAGGTTCTCATCAGGGCTTTTGACTTGCTTGTTCTCCAATATAACCCAGCATTGAGTGTCAATTAGCTTGACCTTCATATTCACATATCAGAAGAGGTAATTCAAAAATTCAACCAGAGCATTCAGCTTGATGACATATTTAGTATTCTGTTTGAACTGACTGATTGCCTTGCCAACACAGCTATTCAGATCATAGAGATTATATTGCATTTGAGACCTCAAGTTCAGATCTCATGCTGACATTTGACCTGCTGACAGATTTGCAGGCATTGCAGTTCTGTCATTCTGAGTGCAGAGCCTCTTCAATTAAAGTTGAAGCTGCAATTCTTTGTATCTCTCTTTTTGAAGTTCTAAATCAATCTTTTGATGTTCAAGATCCAATCTCCTCAGTTGCAATTCTTCAGAGTCAGTTGTTGGTGATGGTTAGAGATCACTGCAGACATCTCCACCCCATCTTCTGAAGGAGTCAGGTCAGCATATTCAACACAATGTAGGCAGACTGACCTCACTGTGATAGAGAACTGTAATCAGTCTGACTTGCTGATTGAGTGTTCCAGGGAGTCCAATATTGGAACTCCTGAATGCCTCTGAGAGGGTTGGTGAGCTCAGGACCCTCTGATCATTTTCAGATTGATCAGATTGACTGAATTGACTCAATCATAACCATGAGCAAGTCATCATATGTTCTGTCATGTTGTATTAATCTTCTTTCTAATGGAGTAATCTTATTCAGTGAGATTCTTGCCTATAAGCTTGATTGAGTGGATTGGCATGTTCTTGTATGATCAGTCACTGAAAAATTAGTGAGTTGCAGATTTTTCTTTCACCTGCTAAGTGAATGAATTGAACACAAAAAATTAATAATAATATAAAAGTGCATCAAATCAATCAATTGACATAAAATAAGACAATATTATATTGAATGAAGTGAGCAGTGATTAATATACACTATATTTGACAAGAATTCCCTGAATTGGCAGTTATTTGTGCAAAACAGGTCTCATAACCTGTCAACGATAGATTGCTTGATTGATTATAAGGTGATCACTAGCTACGCGGAAGTTATATACAGTGCAGATTATGTAAGAAGGCGAATAGACCTGATAAATCATTTATGCATTATTAAAAAATTCAGAATGTTAACCACCTCATTAAAAAAAGATTTCTAGTCAGAAAGTCAGACATTTATTAGTCATTAAAGCTTATAAAGCTCAATAAATTATAACTATTAAAGTTATTTTTAAAATATATAATATTCTCTATTTTTCTTTAATTTATAAATTATATGATTGAATTATATATATGAATGCTCAATTAAAAAATTGAACATTGATCTCTATAAAAAAAAAATTTTTAAATTAATGAATAATTTTTATATATGAGAGAAAATAGTCTTCATAAATTATAACTATATAAGAAATAATTAATATATTATATAAAAATTATATATTTGATACTTCTATTATTATAGAAAAATATTAAATCAATAAATTTAAATAATAATATTATAAATTAAAGATAAAGTTTTCATATAATTGTAATTATTATTGAGATTAATATGAGATTTTAAAAATTCTATATAAATTATTTATTTTAATAAATTATATATTAAAAAGTATAATATTATATCAGAAAATATTTATAATTTTGATAAGATTAACTTTATAATAAAAATTATTTCAATAGTTAGAGTGATTACTAAATTTAAAAAAAATAATAAATAAGTAATTATAATTAAAGTAATCAATACTATAAACTGAGCTTTATTTTTAATAATTATATTCAATAATAAGCTTATTATTAATTTTTATAATATAGATAATTATCAAAGAATAAAATTTTTAATTAGTTATATAGTAGCTAATAAAAGATTATAAAAAATATATAATATAAATTTAAAGTTATAAATTTAATATTATATAATTTAAATAAAATTTTTATTTAATTATATATTCAATTTTTATATTTTTCTTTTTTATATTAGTATATAAATCTTAACTTTTTTAAATCTTTAAAACTTTTCACAATGCGACTTACTTGAAGCTATAGAGTAGTATAATTAAATATTAAATGAAGATTTTCTTTAGTTTTATTGATCAAACTTTTGATCAATAAGTGAAGAAATATCAGTTGATTATATATAATATTACTATATTAATAAAAAAAATACAGAGTTGAGACCTCAAATATTGGATAGAAATAAAAATGAAAAAAATATATTTTAATATAATTAAAAAATTTTTTTAATAGATTAAAATATATTAATTAAATCTTATAGATTTTAAAAGTTTAATTAATATATAGAAAAAAAGATTGAGAATTTGAACTCATATATTATAAAATAATAATATTTAATATATAGTAAATATATTATATATAAATATAATATGAAATAATATCAACAGATTTAAATAATTATTCCATATAATTTTTATATATAATTTTTTATAATTATTATTTAATTTAAATTTTTATTAAATAAAAGAATAAGAATATTTAATATATGATATAATTCAGTTGATAATTGATTATATGAATATTTTATATTATTTATATATATCTAATTAAATAAATTAATCAATTAATATATATATTAAAAAGTGAATATAAGCTAAATAAAAAAGAATTTTCTATATTTTTAACTGCTATATTATAAAATACTAAGTTTGATTTGAGAAAAAATAATATTAGAGTTCAATTATATTATAAATAATTTATTATATTATATAATAAAGATATAATAAAATGTATATAATCTAATATAATAAATTAAATTCAATATTTATATTCTGTATTCATTGAGGGCTTGAATTTAACATTAATCTTTGAAGTAGAAATAGATATATTGTTATACTAGTAGATCATTATTATTATTATTTCTTAAATACTTACTTTTATATATATATATATATTTATTTATTTAGTTATTTGAGTAGTTTATCTTTTATATAATTAATTTAATAAAAGTTTTATATTAAATATAATATACTTTAAAAGTTATAAAATAAGTATTTTAATAAAATTTTATTATATCTCTTTTAGTATATTTAATATTTCAATGTATTTTGACTTATTCAACTTATTAAAATATACTCTACCTCTCATTCGTTTTCATAATTTATATCAATTGAATCTGATAGTTTTATTATTTATTTTTATAGAAATTTATTGATTTTTTATATAATATATTTAAAGAAAAATTAAGTGAATCTTTATTATTATAGAAAAATTTAGTTTATAAATAATTATTTTCTTATTTCAAAATTTTGAAAAAATTTATTTTCTACTTTATAACTTTATAACTTAGTCAATCAATTCTATATAATTTTAATATTAAATAGATAAAGTTATTTACTATAAAATCAGAATTTTTATAATA